ATTTTCCTTTCTTGTTTTTCATTGTTTTCTTGCAGTCTCAAAGAAGTAGAGAAGATTCATGGTTCTTTATGCTATATCACTTTTGTTTTTCCTGATGGTCGTTTGTGTCTCCCCTCTCTTCCCAACTTTGCTTCATCTTTTAATCTTAGTGAATTGCCACACATTGTCCTCCTCCTTCCGTTACCTCTGACCTCATTTGGTGGAGAAGGCACCTTGAAAAGACAGGCCTTTTCCACTCTTTGTCCCCACCCAGTCCTCAGGTGGACCTTGTCATCTTTGTTGATGCTAGTACCTCTTGGGGTATTGGTATATCCATTTGCAGTTGTTGGATGTCCTTCCAGCTTTCAAAAAACTGGAAGCACATTGCCTCTGGAAGAGATATTTGTTGGCTAGAGTGTCTTGCAGTTGAGTTTGTGGTATACATTCTCGAGGCTGAAGGCCTTTCTAACTGCTTGGTGGTGGTCTGTTCTGATAATATGGGCACTATTGGGTCCATTGAGAAAGGGCAAAGTCATAACTTCCATATTAACCTTTGCATGCAGTACTTTCCACTGACACCAGCCTTTCAGCTGAGCCTCAGCTGAGCCTCGGCTCATCAGCTGAGACTCAGCTGAACCTCAGCTGAACCTCAGCTTAACCTCAGTATAACCATAGATTTTGAAAATAAACATATGTTTATCAGCTGAACATTAGTGAACCTCAGCTGAGGTTCACTTGGGGTTCAGCTGAGGTTCAGCTGAGGTTCACTTGAGGCTCAGCTGAGGCTCAGCTGAGCATCAGTAGAACTCTAACTTTGATAGGTATAAGAGAGTTGCTTGATGGTATTGTTTGATAGTAGAAAGCAAGTGTGATAGTTCAGTACCATCTGTCACCAAAGGTCATATCTATGTACATACAAACAATTCACTTGAAATACTAGTGTCACAGCTATGTTATACAGTTCCACATTTATGTGACATGTGACAATATGTGTAGACTGTCACAATCATTGTCACAAACATATAAAAAGGATCCTAAAGGTTTCACAGATGATAAAATAGAATAGTGCAATGTGTGACATGAGATTGTCACATATTCTCACACTACACATTGACAGGCAACTGAGAATCACCTGGGCCAGTGCAAAGTACTGTAACCAGCTCAGCTGAACCTCAGGTGGTAAGTAATCAATACAAGTTACATGACTATTAAAACCATAACTAATAAGCTGAGGTTCAGCTGAGGCTCAGCTGAATCTCGGTTCATCAGCTGAGGCTCAGCTGAATCTCGGTTCATCAGCTGAGGCTCAGCTGAGCCCTCAGTTGCTAGTTTCAGTTTACCTCACTGAGGCTCGGTTAATTTTGGCAGAGAACTCAACCGAGGCTCAGCTGAGGCTCAGTTGAGTATCAGCTGAGCCTCAGCTGAGCCTCATTTTACACCAAAAAAAAACAATTCTCTACTAGTTTTAGTAATAGAATTAATTGACCTGATAAGCTGAGGCTCAGCTGAGGTTCAGCCGAGTCTCAGCTGATGAGCCGATCCTCAGCTGAGGCTCAGCTGAAACATTTGGGCTAGAGTAAAGTCCTCTTTGCATGTGTCACTTATATTCTGTTCTCTATGCTCATATTATCTCCCTCGAGATGCTTCATGTTTCCTCTTCAGACAATATTGCAGATCCCTTATCTAGAGGCCTCTCAGGGCCACCATATTTATTCTACCCACCTCCCTTTCGCTGTCCCAAAGAACTTAAACCCTGTTTCCTTTGTGTTCCTCAGTACTTATTGCAGCCTTTTCATTATGCCTAAAGACTCTTACCCATGTCCTGTATCCTCTCAGCATGATAATACTAGTATCAACTCTAACTCGTCTTCACTGCCTGCCTGTGCTCCTATAGCAAGACCTTCCTGGGTATCACCTTACTCTATTGAAGCCAGTAATACTTGCACCAACCTCAACCCTCAGATTCCTTCTGTTCATGCCAATTCCTCTATCAGACCTTCCACCACACCAGGGCTTCTAACCCCAAATACTACAACAATTTCTCAACCTTCATATATGTCACCATTTGTTTCCAGATCTTTCCTCAGCACTGCTCCAGGCCTGGTTATTGCCAGCCAAGAACCTTCGCAGCAATCTCAACCTAATCACACCTCATTCACTCACTTCAAAAAGTTCAAACCAGCTCCTGCCCATCGCTCTGAATCATCATCTGACATTGTCACCTCCGTGTTTTGCCCTAACATATCCTCAGGTGACTGGCTCACAGCATGGACTACACCATTCAGTCTTAAATGTTGTGAGGAAGCCTCCCTGGGTGCTATTCCCAAGCACATTGTTGATAAGTCTTATGCCTTGGTCTTTGAGGCTCTTGAAAAGAACTCCAGGACCTCTTATGGTGCTGGCATTCTATGCTTCACTCAATTCTGCGACTCTATTCCAGTTGATGAATCATCGCACATGCCTGCATCAGTGGATCTCATTACCTCTTTTGTGGCTCACCATGTAGGTCATGTCTCTGGTTCTACAGTCAAAACCTGGCTTTCCGGGGTCAGGGCCTGGCATATTGTCAATAAAGCCCCCTGGAATGACGACAAGTTCCTTTCCATGGTTTGCACCACTGCTAACAAATTGGGCTCATCCAAGAAATGTCCTCCTTGCACTCCCATCTCCCTTGAGCATCTCAAACTTCTCCATAATCATCTGGATATCAGTAAACCTCATGATGCTGCCATTTGGGCATGTGCTCTCACCACTTTCTTTGGTTGCCGCAGACTGGGTGAGACCACAGTTTCTGAAGCTCCTTTCAATGCAGATAGGCATGTCAGTCGCAGCTCCAAGTTTCAGATTCATCAAGATGGGCAGGATGACAATCTTTCCATGTCCTTTCACATACCTTGGACCAAGACCACCAAGGAACATGGTGGCAACATCATCTTTACTTGTCACCTTGATATTCTTTGCCCAGTCAAGGCTTTTATGAATCACATTAAAGTCAACCCTCTTATGGCACCCTTCGCTGGAGCTGCCAACCTCAGTAAACACTCACTCTTTGCATATTGCGTCCCCTCTGGTGCTGCCAAGGATATGTACAAGTCCAAGTTCCTTTCAGTGGTACAAGGGATATGGAAGACTGACCCATCCCTGGTATGTATGTCTGGTCACAGCTTCTGCATTGGTGGGGCCATTGCTCTTCTTTTGGCAGGTGTTGAACCAGAGGTGGTGGCAGCAGCCAGGGGTTGGACATCACTCACTTTCCTTCTTTACTGGAGGAAATTGGAACATGTCATTCCTAATTTCACCTCTTGTGCCTACTCCAAGGAGAACCTTGACTTTATCAAGTCCAAACTTGTCAGATTCCAAGGAGACATTGGCGTTTCCTCTGAGTTTTCGCAGACCGTGAGCTCTTTACTTTTGTAACTCAACTATTTGATTTCTTGATACTACAGACCTTCTTAACTTTGCGAACTTTATCATCTCTTGTGCACATTTGCTCTTTGCTAGCTAGAGAAATTTGCCATGTAACTTGCTGTTTCTGAATGATATCTGCTCTCTTCCTATACATTAAATTTGTATCCTTCCATACCCATGAGGTCTTGTTGCCTGCTCTATCTGGGGTCTGTGTGCTTCCCTCTCGCCTGGTGAGCTTTGCTCCATTTGGCATTGGCTCAAGGGTCTGCTTCTGTTACAATAGCTCAACAGGCGCTTGTGGTTAAGGCCTTTGAGCTTGTCTGGGTCGAGTTCGGAAGAAGGTTGTTGTGTGTCAGAGTTTGAGTATTGTACTAAGATCGTCACTGTGTACACACACTACTGTCAGGGGATCTCCTGCTACCTCCTATTGTTTTCCTTGTTATTGTCTCTCTGTCTCTCTTTCTCCCTATTCCCCTTTCTCTATTTCATTATCTGGATGTACCATGGACTCATATATATTATATTACACTCTCCTTTAGTTGTCACTCATTCATTATTTAGTTGTTGCCACTGTTTCATAGTCATTCCTTTGTGTTTCCCTTTGTTTATTCCCAAAGGCATTGTTTGGCATCAAGGCTGATGCCAATGCCAGCTCATCACTTAAATAGCTGTTTCACCTGGGTTTGATCCTTTACCTCTTTCTCTTTGGATCTCCCCCAGGTGAGTATACTTCCTGTATTTATGTAGAGCTGATATATATCTTTGGATCTCCCCCAGGACTTGTGTGTGTCTGAGGTGCCCTTACAGCTATGCTGGTATTGTCTTAGAAGAGAGCAAGTAGAGTAAGATTGTTGTAGAAGGTTGTTGTTCTATTCAAAGTTAAAGAACTAGCTAAAGAACAATGGTATAAACTACAGTGTTTATATAGATATCTAGCAAGGCTGTGTGTGTAAACACCAAGTAGATAAGGTGTGAAATATATGAGTCAGAAGTGGAGTCTGTAGTAAGAATGAGTCATAATGAATAAGAGACAAGTCATAGATAGGAGAAGGAAGTGGAGCAACAGCAGGAATGGATGTGGAGTGTGAGTCAGAAATAGGGGAAGAATGTGGGGCTCTGGAGATAGGAAATAGACAAAATACAAGTACAAAGAGAGATGATAGTACATGATGATAAGATGAAGAGAGATGGTGGTACAGATAAGATAAGGAAAAGATAGGAGGAAAAGAGATGATGTAACAGCTTCCCAGACTCTCATTGCCCCCAACACTCAGGTTTTGGTGCTCTGTTCCCAACACATTGTTGTTCAAGTGTTGCACTTAGTGCTTACACATGTGTTGGAACCCTCATCCAACTGTGCCTCACAGCAAGTCATTCCTCTTGCGCAATTTGGTTGGTTTTGGCCATTTCCCCTCAAAATGCCAAAACCTCCACACCTTAACGAATTCAAGTCACACCAAAGTTGCTAATCTTCAACTTCCTTTCTGGGTTTCAAACCTCTCTTATCCTTTATCTCTCATTTCCTCCAGCAAGCATCCAACTCTTATCCACCAGCATGCATGACCAGCCCAATTCTAGCATCACAACAAAATCAAAGATGGATTAGATAATATGGCCTGATGGTCTAGTAGTATGATTCCTTGTTAGGGCTTTCAGCTGTTTCGAGGAGGTCCCGGGTTCAATTCCCGGTCAGGCCCAGTGTTTTTTTTCCACCACTTTCTCCAAGGTGTCACATATTGCTTTCTTATCACTGTCTCTCCTGGGTGCATTCTTAGTTCTGCAGTATACCAAAAAACGGCAACTCTCATTATCAAAGTTGGTTCCCTGGAGATGAGAGCAAAACAATGTAATTCCGCAGCTGTATATCTCAACTGCAAATCAATTTAACCATTTGGCTCATAAACAGCAACCAATGTCGCGTTCACCGCACCTCCCTCTTTCACAGTCAACCAGCGTCCAAACCTCGGTTCCTGACCCAGGCCAGCAACGAGCACAAAAGGATGAACAGCAAGGGCCTTGTTCCTCCTCTGCACAGCACCCGGCACCTCAGCACCAGCCTTGTTCTTCTTTTGCTCGACGACCCAGCTTGCGGTGTCAGAGAATTCTTTGGGGGGCGCGATGAGTTGTAGCGAGTTGACAAATCCTGGTGCGGCGAGCTTGCCGACGAGCTCGAATGACTTGAGTTTTGCGTCGAGTTTCCATATCCGAATGTCGCCTTCCCAAGAACCTAAAGACGTAATTAATTCAGATCACTACAAGAGAGGTTGTGATAAAGAAACACATACCGGAGACGAAGAGATCAGAGTACCGCAGACAGGCGAGCGAGGTGATCCAACGAGGAGTTTTGATGACGCCCTCGGTTTCTGAAAGAGCTGCATTGAAACCGTGGGCGAGAGGTTGCGTGAATATGGGTTTTTTCTTGGTAGTACTCCAGAGACATATCGAGCTAGAAACACTAACATCAGAATAAGGTGAACCAGAATAAAAACAGGAAACTTACCCGCTATCACCACCGCTCACAAACATCGTCTCGTCAATCATCGCAACACACTCCAAGCTTCCCTCCACGAACTTCATATCCTTCCCCTTCTCTCGCTGAGCTTCCGCATCGTCGTCCATCGCATCGTCAGCCTTCAAGCCTCCCTCCAAAACCTCCCTGACCCTACTCCGTCCTCCTCCTCGGAATACGAGTTGCGTCTCGTCGACAATTTTCCAATAGCGCGCCGTCTTATCACGAGCACCCACACTAACACAAGTCTCGCCTCTCAACGCGTCCAATCCCAGAATATGGTCCTGATGACCGAACAGTGTCTCCACATATCCCATCACACCTGGAGACAGGTCGTAGACCTTGACACAACGATCCAAAGAAGCGGTATATAGCTGTGAAGATCCTTTTTTAAAGACGACGTTCTGAATAAAAGAGTTACAGGTCAGCAGGCTTGAAAAAGTCTTTACACCAAGCTACTCACCGAAACAGCGTCTTTATGCCCCAAAGGTCCAACAAACGTCTTGACCCACTCTCCCTTCTCCGCATTCCAAACGCATACCCTACGATCCCTTCCTCCACTAACAAGAAGTTCACCATCTGTGCTCAAAGCCAACGACAAAACCTCGTCAGTGTGCCCCTTCTGGTCTGCTTCGGCCTGCACAGCTTTCGCCTTGCCTTTGCCCTTGGTATCAGCGGTCGGTCGGATTTTGTAAAACGTCGTGACGCGTTTTCCGGTATGCAGATCCCATTTGTTGATATGACCTTCCTTGCCTGACGTAAAAAGGTATTTTCCAGATTCAGATGCGACAGCCGAGGTAATTGAGAAACGATGACCCCGCGTGCGTAGAGTAGCAGTCGGAGGTTCAGTGAAATCGAACTGTAAAAACGAAGTCAATAAGAAAAAAGATTAGATAGAAATGTCAAGGAAAACTCACCGAATCAGCAACGAATAAATGGACTTTTCCCGAATGCTCAAGCACATCTTGCTTAAGCCTCGCAGAAATAATCTCTTTATCCACATCAGCAGCGTCAAATTCTCCTTCCGCTAACGCCAGAATCAGTATAAATAAAACAACCAGAACAAAAAGTAAATAGGACATACCCAAACCACTCTTAATACTATCCAAATACATCTGCGCCAACCTCAATCTCTTCTCAGCCGGCGTCTCCTCCTCCTCATCTCCACTCTGCCCAGGGTCCTCCTCTTCCGCACGCAAATCCATATCATCAACATCCCCCTCCTCATCATCCGTCTGATCAGAAAGCTCCTCATCCCGCTTCTTATTCTTTCCCTGGTTCTGCACCTGCTTCCCCTTGAACGCTGATCTATTCAGCTTGCTATTCTGTCGTCCCTGTTGCTGCCCAGGTCTCCCTTTCGCGTTTGACAGCCTTTTCGATGCATGTCTGGCCCCTTCCCCAGCTGTCGAGTCCGAGCGCTTCCGTTTATTAGGTTTCGAAGACGAGAAAAAAGGGTCGGGCATTTCGTTTTGTGTGTTGTGTTTGCTCTTCAAGTAGGGCTTTTAAAAAAGCGAATCCAATCGTGAGTATCACTAAATCTTCTGCGTTTAGTAGTAAATCGTATAATTATTCCCTTGTGCAGTGCTATGAAATATATGAAGCGGGAAATGGGAGATTGGGAAAGACGTCAGTGACAGTCGGAGCAAAATTTGTGATTGTGATTGTGATTGTTTATTTTGAAAGCTGAAGTCCAGATAAGGCATACAGAGCACACTACAACAGTGTTGGGCCAGTCGTCGACTGCAGTCTAGAGTCCGCTCGTTGACTGATGATGACTAAAACCGACTGTGCCCATAAAAGGGAAGTCAGTCGTCGACTATGCTTACAAATGCTGGACTATCACAGACTGTCACACGGACCCAGTTATCAAAGGTGATGCTGGATGACATGTAGTACACATCGAAATGCCGGAAGTATCGTAGGGGTAGGTAGTTCTTAGAAGAAGTATACTATAATATACACCAATGGGATTTACCTCTCGATTACTGAAGGGTCCCCGTTCCGAGATTATTGCTAAGATTCCGTAGAAACTCCTCAAGTACTATATATGAGTCGAGATTATAAAATCTTCAAACACCTTCGAGCATTCCTCGTACACCAATAGACCACATCCCCACTCATGTCCAACGCTAGGCATTGGGCTAGAGAGTACTTTACCGATCATCCATCATATAACCGCGGCCGTACTAATGAGCGACCCCCGGAGGTTTGGGCAAACAAGTACCAAGACAAGATTCGAGTGATCTGTACACTCTGTCTTCAGGATGCCATTGGAGCTATTGCTACAAACGAGGAAGCGAGGGCGAGCAGTGGGGAGAACCTCATACCTCGTTCTAACAGCGACATTAAACTGTCCCGTAAGTCGTGTTTGAATTGTGATGTGAGCAACACGGTACTTACATTACCTGATCCTTCAGTTTTTAATGCCCCACCAGAGTCGGAGCACATTTGGATCGAAGCGCGAGGCTCGACAATGATCACCCATTTAATTCATGCGTGCAGGCTTCAGCCACGGGACGTTGTGGCTCGTGTCGTGGCTCGTGCTACTCATGAACATCCCGAAGGAAATACTTCGAAACGAGCTTCTTCACTACAACACGCCACATCGAGCGCCCACCACCAAACCCGACAGTTTATCCAAACTCCAAGCAATGAAATCGTCTCCCCACAGCCCCGCCGTCATTACAAAAGTCACCAAGTTCCTCCAGTAATTGCACAATGGGGCTACCAGGTCGAGCAACCAAACCCGATGGCTTACAGTAACACACACCCTTATCACCAACCAGCGAGCTTCGAAAATCGGCCAGGGAGTGCGATGGGACACCCGGACTTCGATGCTCCATACCAGAACAATCGATATTCGGGCTTGGATCAATTTTCTGGTACACAACCCTCACCCAGCAGTTCGTTGTTCCCCCATCCACCCCATCTTGATCCTCGATTGGCATACTCAGTATCACCAGCTCCAAGTCATCTTTCGGGGGAATCCAGCGTTAGTGGAAGGCCTACAAAGCTGTTGAGATCCGCTTCAGGTATTAAACGACCTGCCTCAACAGCTTTCAACGACTACGAGAGGCACGAGAGGCCCTGGGATGTGCACAGGCAGAAGCTGTTCGAAGAGAAACTCATCTGCGTTATCGCATCAGCCAACCTTCCCTTCAACTTCGTTACGAACCCCGAGTTTCTCTCTTTTTGTGCCGAGTTCATCCCACAAGCCCGCATTCCATCCAGAAAATCACTCACCCTAACAGTTATGCCGCGATTTCTGCATCAAGTACGGACTTCGAATCGAGAAACCGCTCGAGGCCAGCAGGCAACGGTACAATGTGATGGTTGGACGGGCGGGGACAATCACCATTTGGTTGCCTTCATGGCCACAACAGCAACAAAAGTATGTAAATTGATGATTTTATCTGCTGGTATGAGCTCGAATCTAATTTCTGGGTTTGTTTCACTGTAGGTGTACACTGTCAAAGTTTATGATACAACCATTGAGCGAAAAACTGCAGAGAACCTTCTGGTGCAGATGCGTGAAGTGCTGAAAACTCTCGAGAGGGACTGGGAAGTGAAGGCCACTGCTTTTACCTCGGATGCATCAGGAGAGTCGCGAAAGGCTCGAAGGCTTCTCCGCGAAGAACGACCTGATCTGGTTACGCCAGATTGCTATGCGCACCAAGTGAGCTATCCATTTTCCAGACATCTCATATCTAATTATTCTACATTTACTGCTCCATAGATTAACCTAATTGTTGGGGACTACTTCAAGACAAATGAAGTCGATTTTCTGCGCTATGCAACAAAGGCAAACGAGCTCATAACATGGATACGCTCCAAAACAGCACTAATCGGCCTCATCAAGAAGTATCGAGAGAGCCGTAACAAACAACCGCTGTCTGTCATTTGGCCAGTGCCAACACGCTGGACTGCATTCTTCCTTGCATATCGACGCCTGCTTGAGCTTCGGCCCACCCTATTGGACATCTTTCAAGACCAGCGCAACGACAATCCCGAGATTGCTGCACTTATACCCCGAGATCGAGCAGGCCGAGAGAAGGCAGAGGCCATGATCAAACTGATGGATGATGCTCTATTTTGGCATGCGCTTGCACGGTGTGTCCTAATTATATCAACTTGAATTAATCTGTGCCGCACATCTAATAATCTGCATGTAGAATCAAAAGCCATCTC